ATAAATGAAAAAAAAAGTATTGTGTGAATCAAATTTAATACTTCTTTTTGTCGTTCCTCAAATCTTGCAAATGCAATAAACAAATTTTCACTAATATGATCATCACCAAAAAATTCAATTGCTTTTTCAAATACACTTCTTGCACCGGAAATAAAGCCGTTCTGTTCTTCAAATCTAATAATAAAATAATGATTAAAAACTTTTAAGTTTTAAGTATAAAAATAATTTACCTAGCATATCTTATCCAGTTAGTGACATCTGGATGTACCATAACAAAACTATTATAGATTTTTCTTGCACGATCAACTTCATGGTAGCGCAATTCAAATTTKATATAAGTCAACCAAGCTTGTTCTGGGGGTTCCCATTCCATCCATCGTTCAAATACTGCTCTAGCTCCTAAGAAAAAATATTCTCATTATAATTTATTCAACAGTAAAAATGAATAAAGTAAATAATTTTCATTTTCATTTTTTACCTGCAACATTTCCCAACATCTCTTCCATATACGTGTATTTGTACCAAAATTGATTTGCACGAGGCATGATGACAACAGCACGATCCCATAGATTTCTGGCATGCATCACTTGTCGATGTCTCATTTCTAGTTCGGCGTATTTTAACCATAGTGTTATATTTCGGTGGTCTGTGTCTAATGCTCTTTCATAGATCGATCGAGCCCTTAAAATAAATACATTCATTATGTAAATTAAAATCATAAACAACATATACTTAGAATAATATGAACTAGAAAAACATTGATGTTTAACCAAAAGATAGAAAATTCTCAAAATTAAAATTAAGCAAAAATTACATTATGYATAAACACATACTTTCAATAAAATTCTGATAGGTAAGCTATATAATAATTGACTAAGATTAGGTTAAGCTAGCAAAAACATTTTTTTTTTGGGTTACACAAGCAGGCTCTCAATAACAAATAGTGTATCCCTGTAAATTATAAGAACTTGCATCTCATACCAATCCTTTAATTAAAGCTCTATCAGCAAATACTATTCCGAGAAAGCCTCMAAGRCATTTAAAACGCAACTGGTGTAGAACTTAATATTATMAAAACATGTAAATAAATAAATTCATATATATATATAAATTAATGCATAATCTCAATATTTAAGTGTCATCACTGGGTGGCTGCTTTTATCAAGCCTTTTCGTGTATTATATTATCTCAGCTAATACTCTTATTGTACCCATGAGGTTCAGATTGNTCATGTTTGGTCCCCATAATATATACAGACAAAATAGAAAATTTGGGTTCAGCAGTACTAATTCATAATAGCTTTAACATTAGAGTGACAAGTTTTAATGATAGTTTGTAACACGGAGATAACACTTGAAGGCTATTCACATAAAATTAAAAAGTACATAAAAAATATTATTTTAAGTACTTAGATRCCTATTAATTATAATTTAAAATAATTTTATATGAAATATGTTGGCATACAATTGAATTAATTAGATATGATTTACCTTTGAATTTCTTTCTGACTCTCTTCCCAAGCAGCGTATTTTATCCAATTACTTATATTTGTACGGTTTCTTCGAATATTATCTTCAAATGCACGTCGTTTTCTATGTTGATAATCTCTTAGTTCTATCGGATCAGATATTTTTTGTTTGGGAGGCTATTATTTTAACAGAAATGCACATTAATGTCACAATATGTTAGTTATGACTATAATAAACTTAACAATAAAAACCAACTTCAAAAATCTTAAGTACTTACAGGTGGTACAATTTCAAGATCACGCTCCTTTGCTTCTCTTAACAGCTGCTCTGCAGTGATTTGTATCTCCGCGGGAGCTTTATTTTTCACCTAAAACACAAATTTGAATAATAAGCAATCACATTGAGTACTTCCCAATTATTTAAAAAATGTAACATAACGATTATGGTACATACCTTGGCGACTTTTGGAATTTTTTGTGGTTTTTCCATTTTTAAATTAAAATTAAGGCCTGTTGGGCCTTGTCACTAGTATGTAGAAATTAAAAAAGTATATTATAAGTATTGAGTATATTACTAATAATTATCATGCACTAGAATTATAATATATTATTTATCATAATATCTTATTGTATGATGATACCATGATGTTGACTTATATTTATAAACAACAATATGGTATCATGACATTAGATGTCAAGGACTCTGTAAATAGTTTATTGTAAATCACGGTTTA